GATCTATGAAGTTCAGATTCCTCCAGGTGGGTGTTGTTTGGATCTGGCTGCTGTGCTCCACTTCTTTCTGCTGCAGCCTTAGAGTTGAACCCTTTGTGTCTCTCTGGCAAGAAGTTCTGCTCCTGAATCACCTGGGTGGGTCTTGCCTCTAGCCTCTTTGCAGGGAGTTCTGCTGAAGGGTTCCGTGCTGGGCCTGTGCTCTGGGTCTATTCAGGATCTGGAGGACCCCAGGTCATCTCACTCACTCCCCGGGTCTTCTACACTCTGGGTCTATTCAGGATCCCGCAGCCCTCAGTCGTCTCACTCACTCGCCGGGCCTGCACTCTGGGTCTATCGGCCCTTGCCTTTTATTCCAAAAAGAATAGTGGGATGGATGTCCCTCCACTGTGTTCTGTGACCATAGAGGACGGCCACAGCAAGGTGCTCCTGAAGCGGTACATTATTTAGAGACATGGCTTTTCCTCCACATGTGGAGATATATAGGTGCTGGGCCCAGCTCACATCCATTCTTAAGATCCTGAGTTTTATTCTTCATTCCAGTCTCCTTAATTTACTGACCCCTTACTTACCAAGTTAATCTCTAATATCTTTCAGAGATTATGACAATATCCAGATATGTAAGTTTTATATTATTGCTGTTACAAATTACCACATAGCTAAGGGCTTAAAATTGTGCAGATATATTATTGTACATCTCTGAAAATCAGAAGTCTACAGGGGACCACAAAATGCAAGTCTCCTGAAGTAGAAATTGTAGGGGAGAGTCCATCTCTTTGCCTTTTCCATCTTCTGGAGATTTCTTACATCCTTTAGCTTGTGACCCCACATCATTCTAAAGGCTGCTTTTGTCCTGTCTTCTTGTCTGATTCAGATCCTGCTGCCTCCTTCTTCTTGTATCTGTGATTACATTAGGCCCACCTAAATAATTCAGAATAATCTCTCCATCACAAAACCCTTAACCTAAATAAAATCTGTAAATTCTTGCCTATCATGTAAGGCAACCGTGTCCTAAGTTTTGGGGATAAGAGTGTGGACTTTTGGGGAAAACTTATTTTGCTATCACACTGGTTTTGCAGCTTTTCTTAGACCATCCACATTCCTGGCTTTT